TGCCATGAACATAGGTGTGCATACGTCTATTCGAGTGACGACTCTTATTTCTCTAGGATATATTCCTAGGAGTGGGATTGCTGGATCGAATGGTAAGTCTATTTCTAGCTTTCTGAGGAAGCGCCATATCATTTTCCAAAATGGTTGTATCATTTTGCATTCTCACCAGCAGTGCATAAGAGTTCCGATCTTCCTGGGCTTATCTCTTAAGGATAACACTGGCTAAGAGGTGTTGTTAAAGACACATCATAAGTGGACATATGATTTTGAGATTCTTGATGTGAAATACAGTCTGGTGTCACCCAGTTAAGATCCAAATTTTGGCTCTGCCATAGACCATATGTAACTTCACTCCAGATATTTAACTTCTCTTTGTCCTGGTTACCTCACTTTAAAAGCCAGAAAGATGCTATATTGCATCACTTCTAAAACTTTAAAAACATTTTTATGTCTCTGGAATTAGACGGCATCTTATGCTTTAATTGTCTGTGTTTTTTCCTTTCTTAGAGGTATCTAAAATAATGGTGTTTTATAATCAATAGCATCTTAGATTTGATGAAATATCAGTACTACACCATAAAGTAATTGTTGTTGTGTGCCGTTGAGTTGATTCCAGCTCATAGCGGCCCTATAGGTTACAGTAGAACTGCCCCATTGGGTTTCCTAGGCTGCAGTGTTTACAGGAGCAGATCACCAGGTCTTTTCTCCCACCGAGCGATAGGTAGGTTCGAATCACCAACTTTTTGGTTGGCAGCCGAGTGCTTAACCATTGTGCCACCAGGGCTCCTTATAAAGTAACTATAATGAATAAATATTTTACACCCTCACATAAACCAAAAAAACCAAACCCATTGCCGTCAAGTCGATTCAGACTAATAGCAATCCTATAAAACAAAGTAGGACTGCCCCATAGGGTTTCCAAAGAGCTGCTGGTGGATTTGAACTGCCGACCTTTTGGTTAGCAGCCATAGCTCTTAACCACTGTGCTACCAGACACGTTCACGTATGTGATAAATATTATTAGTCTTTATACCTTACACATATGTGATTAATATTCTTTTATACGTTAAATATTTAATCGAAAGTATTTTAAAAGGTTGG